TCGGAAGAGATCAAAGATTTGAACTTTTGGATCACCGGGTATATGATCTGGAGCCTCTCGTCGACGAAGCTGAGAATCTCATCTCCGGCGTCGGATATTATTCCGATGACGCCATCGATGATGCTACTGGTGTCGTCGATGATGTCAGGCTGGCTGCTGTTTGTGACTGATGGTGAAACAGAGTTGAAGACGAGACATGTTACGATGAGGAAGAGGAGAGACAAATGCAGTTTCTGCATCTTCTCTTCTTGCACTACGAAATGTGTTAGAGAGAGAGAGAAAGAGAGACGATTATTGAGGGATTCAGATTCGTATTATATGTTCAAAAGTATGTGATAACATTTTTTTTTATATATGTATGATTATTTTTTTTTTACTAAATAGTTTTTACCCCAATTTTTTTTATACAATTTCCGGTCAATTTAAACATTCGAACCAATTCAAGTTTATTATTATAATCTGATTGATAAAAAAAAATTTGAATACTAAAGTATGTTAAAGAACTTTTGAAGGATTCCATTTCGTTTCTGTTAAAAGAAATTGAAAACGTAAATAGAAAAATATTAATCATTGACAAAAAATAGAAGAATGAAAGTTTGGTTTGGTTTCGAGTGTTTGACGGCTAGTGGGTGGTTGGGTCGGGCACTTTCGCTAACGTGCAACTTTTTATCCAAGGATATATGTAAAATATTTACATAACTTGTATATGATTTAATGGAATATCTTTTAACCAAAGTGAATATTTACATATTATACAAATTTCATATGGTCTCCTTTCGTCATATATTTGATCATTGCAAGTTGAGAATATAGGTTTGGCCCATTTAACAATTGGACCATTTTTTGAGCTTATGCGAATTATTGGGCTTACAGAAGTTTTTTCAGCACTATCATTTAACATGGACCGTACTTAACATAGTTAAACCCAACAATCTCAATTTGATATATAATGGAAAATTTAACCATTTCAATTAATTTAATTACCATGTAACAAGGAGATATAAAACGTCCCCCTCATAACTAAGCAAAGAATTAATTAGATGAAAATAATTATAAAATAAAAACATTATTCCAAGTTTCAAGTTACAAGAAAGAACAAGATAACCGTATGGAGATTCCGGGTTCTGATTAAGGGGCGACTGGTTACGCCGCCGCCACCCGCAAATAAAGCGATTGCGATTTCTGGCGATTGCGGACGATTGAAAAACTGATTGGTTGAACCGTAATCACCTGCACCTGCAACCAAACTTGTGTTTTCTAACTGCAATTTCCACCTTACGTTTTGGTAGCCGTTTCCGACGTTTTGAAAAAAAACTAAAATATCCTTGTTAAAAATTATATAAAATACTAATATATATATATATATATATATATATATATTGTTGATGATTTTATTTATTGTTATGATTTGATATTATTTTCTAGTATTATATTTTAATAAAAAATTATTAGCAAATAATTTTTATCAAATGATACTAAAAATTTAATTAAAACTATTATAAAAAATTATTTTAAAATAATATTATTTTTAATAATTTATATCAAACGCAGCCGCAACCGCAACAAACCATTCGCTTCCAACCGCATCCACCCGCAATCGCTGTCAACAACAACTTATCAACCAGTCAGTACTAATCGTTCATAATCGCTATCAAACGTTTTGAAAACACCGTCATCCGCAACCGCAACAGTTGGAATTCTAATTTATATTCTGAAAAAATTATTTTCATTTTATCATTTTATGCAAGGTTTTCCTTCTGCTTCGTATTTGGGGATTCGATCTGCATAGTATAATTTAAAAAAAATGTTTTTATTTTCTCTCTAATTTTTAAATAATTTCGATTATATACTATTATCGAGATTCGAGATAGACGCCAACAGGATAACCACAAACGACTAATTCTCACGTTTTTCTCACGAAATTATGCTGATATATACACGCACACCGACGCAATTATACATGTATATGTACGGTACATGTTATATATAGTACATGTGTGGATAATGCCATACGTGGTGCTCGGTTATAGGATTATATATATATATATATATATATATATAATCCACGGAATCTAAATAAATATCATAAAGATTGTCTTCTTTATTTCTTTTGTCAGGGATAGGCCCTTCTGTTGCCAATAGCATCTTGTTTTGTCCATATCCATGAAGATGATTGTCTCTGTATTTGCTCAATAAGACAAAAAAAAATGCATTATACGATAAAATTTTACATAACGATGGTATATGATTATTATAACAAATATGCTAATATTTTGTCATACATCGAAGATATTTCGGTAATGGAAATATTCGAAAATCAGAAAAACATTGCATTATCTTATCTTTTTGCTGACCAATACAATCTTATCAAATAATATAGTATTGGGATACATGTTTGGTTCCAGTTTTGGAATATAAAATTAATTTGAACAAAAATTTAAAAATGGAACAAGTATAAAATTTTCACATAAGATTAATCCAATATAAAATAATTAACTATTAAATATTTTAAAATAAGAAATATTTTCTTATTAAAAATTGAAATCAATTCTACGCAAAAAAATAAATAATAAATATAAATTCTCAAAATTTAAAATTTTGAAGTAGTGAGTATGAAAGTTAAACCTAATAAAAAAACAATCAGGGTTAATATAATAAATTTAAATATTAGGAAAAGCAAATAAAAGATATTTGTAATTGTATGATGTCCAAGTCCAAACATCTCTTTTCCAATCTATCGCCGTAATAGAAGACAAATAGGGGAAAAGAGCATGACGCGCCAGTGAGAGAGTGTGAAGTAAACGCGCGGGTAGCTGAGCTGGCGCGAAATGATAAGCGTTAAGCACAACCGCCACGTCAGCAACTAGCAACAACACCGGCGGTTAGCGATTGAGAAGAGGGGGACCCACACACAGACCCCAGAAAGCCAGGAATATGCCTTGCCCTTCCTTCCTTTTATCCTTTTTCCCTTTTCTTCTCCTCCAGAGTTCATCTCCTCTGAATCTCTCTGATCCTTTTGATATTGTTTCGTTTTGATATTCGTCTCGTTTATTTTTCCGCGTTTATTGGTGTCTCGATCGGCCATGGAGTTTTTTCTCGAGATTGTTCTGACGGCGGTTGTTGCGCTGTTGTTCTCCTTCGTTGTGGCGAAGCTCGTGTCGGTGGCTACGGCCGGAGGAGGACACGGTTCGAGTTCCGAGTCGGAGGAGAAGTCCGCGATCCATGTCGGTCAGGACGTTTCCCTTGAGGAGTTTCGGTTTGAGCAGAAAATGGAGGCTCGGGTACTCGGGAGTGAGAGGAATGTCCGGATTGTTGGGGAGAATGTGGAACATGTGGATCGGTTCGTAGGAGAAGCTGTCCGATTTGACGAACTCGAGGACGCGGCGAATGGAAGCAGAGAAATCGGCGCTGAACTTGAAGTAAAGGAGGTCCAAGCATTGCAGGCTGAATACTGCGCCGCCGTTTCGCCGGAAATTGTGAAAGAAGAGGAAACAATAGTACCGGGACAAGAGGAACAAAAATCTGCAACCCCCCTAGCTGTCTCGAAGGAAGACGTTATTGCAGAGGATATAAGTGTCGGAAGAGAGGAGGAGCGAAAATCAGAATCCGGCGATGCTGTCTCGCCGGAAAATATGGTAGCCGAGGAGACAAGAGTTCGAGGGCAAGAGGAAGGAAGCGAATTGGCGGAAGAAAGAAGCGATCACATAGAAATCGAAGAGAGCGGGGATGTTGCAGTGTCTGAATCAGAGGACCAGGTTGAAGAGAGTGAATCTAAGGAGGGAATTCAGGAGAAGACAGAGGAGTTGAATATTGAAGAGGACGATGATGATGATTGGGAGGGAATTGAGAAGAGTGAACTGGAGAAAGCCTTTGCTGCTGCTGCTAAATTCATGGAAGAATCGGGACATGCGTTAGAAATCGGTAACGACGCTAAGACGGAGTTATACGGATTGCATAAGATCGCCACAGAAGGACCCTGCAGAGATTCATCGCCCATGGCTCTTATGGTCTCTGCTCGTGCTAAGTGGTACCATCCTTCTCCTTGTTTTTGAACTGTTTCTTCTGCAACTAAGATGTGATGATAATGTCTTCGAAACAGAGCTACGTAGCTAGATATGGAAATGGTCCTATATAGCTTTATTGTAGTAGGTCATATTGGTAGGATCATAGAGTTAGGGAACTTCTTGTCTCTGGTGTGATACATCATACAACAAAGTCCCAAGTTACAGAACTCAGAATAATCAAGTACTTCAAAGATTAGTTAGCAAAATGTTTGCAAAGTAGGAAGTCTACAATGGCTAAGTACTGTTGCATTGGTGTAGCTTGGTTGCTATATCAATGTAGCATGGTCAGACAATTGCTATGGCCGAGTGACGAACAGGGCTGGTTACATTGTGCAAGGAATGCCTGGCAAAAGCTCGGAAACATGAGTCAAGAGGAGGCCATGGAGCAGTATCTTGCACTTGTTTCAAAGGAGGTCCCTGATCTGGAGGTCCATGCTGGTTCCACTGTAAGTTTGTGAGCTTGTCAGGCTTTGAAACTCTTCTGGGTGTCTCTGTTTGGCTCATCTTTACTTCCATTCGGTTGCTTCTACAGTTTGAGAAGAACCCCGAGATGGAAACTTCCGACTTCGTGCCTCCTGATTCGGGTTCGTTAGAGCCACCGCCCCCATTGACCGCAACAGGTGTTGCATCCAGTAAACTATTGATATCGAGGAAACACATTTCTTTTTTTCCTACTGTGATTTCTTGGCTCATTGCATTCACATCTTTTCTTACAGATTCAAAGTACGAAGCTTTTAAAGGTGACGTCAATGAGGCTTCAGATGTAGGCAAGAAGGTAATGGCCAGTTAGTTTTCCATGGTGTTGGTAACAGAAGAATACGACTATATAGCTGAAGTTCACTTGCGGTATAGTACCTATCAAACTCAGCTATGCAACAACAGAAGTTCGATATTCACTAATCTACTAATGTTTCTGTCCAGAAGCATCAGAGGCCATTCATTTCTCATCCTTTTCCATGTTTGTTTTCTATTTGTTCAACTCATTCTTCTAATAAATCATTTCAGGGAAAAATCGACTCCAGCATTTGATCTCACAAGCCTGTTAAGACATGCCCCGTGATACACATTGAATGCAGATTTGAAAACTATTCAATTGCATACGAGTTCCTCAAGGTATTGACAATGCAGTATATTGTAAGTAGTTCTCAATGCCCTAGTGATAAAAATCTGATTCCGAAAACCCTTATTGGTGTCCAAACCTCGCAATGTACATAAAACCTATATGATATCTTCCAATAATTCGTTGATTATATTCTCGCAGTGATCCATTCTTTGCAGTGTTTGCTCCACAAATTTTAAAGAGGGTCATAGCTATAGATCCAAATCGATCTTTTGTTGAATGGAACCAACATGTAGGAATACAGCAGGTCTCTTTAAGACAAAACACTAAACTCAGGTGAACTCAGAAGGGAACACTTACTCGGACGAGTCATGGAGGGACTGGCAAACAGGGAGGTAGTAAGTATCCAGCTGCCAATACTTTTGTCTCACACCTTCCCACACTTCTTCTCCAAGGCAATCCTTAACCGGTAGAGGAATCAATTGGGTGCTATACCCGAGATTCTCGAGTTCTAACGACACCAAATGGCAATAAACAACGTGGAAGAAGGCGTTACTTCCACAGAGACCGTTGAAGAATGAATAGATCCCTCCCGGCTTCAGTAACTTGGGGAGATGTTGATGAAACTCCCTAAGGTCTTCGTAATATTCCCCATAAGTGTCAAAGAATACGCCTGAAAAAAAAAACAAGACATGAAGTGACATCGAGGCAATTCATAACATTATAAAGTTGAGTGATATAGGGCTTGCCATCGTAAGATTCGAGCTGAGGAAGAACATCTTGCCACCGTCCAAATATTATCTTGACATTTTCCTTCTCGCCCCAACCAGTTTGAAGCATACGCTTGTAGACCTCGGGGTGAGCCTCGATTATTGTATGTGAGGTTGGTTTATACTGTTGAATGGCTGTGTCCACGAGTCCCATCCCAAACCCGACGTTTAAAACGTGACCACCTCCCGAGCAAACGGCTTTTGCGTGAGCTTCCATCAAAGGCTTCTCCCATGCCATCATTACGCCCTTGCTCTCGGCATCCATTAGCTTATCCTCACTGAAACTAACCCTATCTTCCAAATAATCACCATTAGAGTGATCACTCTTGTTTTCCTTTCGAGCTATTGTGCCTAGAATCAACTCAGCCTGAATTCCTGTTTACTCATAATGCAAATGAAGATTGAACAAAGGGAAAACTCAGAATTCTTTCCCTGTGAGGAAGTAATTTAAGAACATGATGAAGGGGATCAATCAAGTTCACAAACCTATGTGTATTTCCCAAACAGCCTAATGCAAAATAATTTATGAGAGTTTAATCAAAATCAGTTTACTAAGCAAGTCTTCCACTTCACCCTCTTGCTTTTTAGCCATTAGAACAATTGCTCTGCAAATTTCAGACGACAGAATGAATCTCCCTCCATGTCCCTCAGACGATTCAGGTCCATTGATCAGGCACAGTCTCTACAGAAATGATGTTTGGCTCAAAAGGGTTTGCCATAAATGAGCCAAAATTCGATTTTTGAACAACCCACAAAAACCCTAATCGTCAAAGCAGGTGAGGCGAAGAGGCAATCTACAGAGAGAGAGAGAGAGTACCAGCATTGAGAAGGATCTCGAAGGCTTCCTGGTGGCTGGAATCCATGGCGAAGTCTCCAGCGGAGAGATTCGACGGAGAGAGAGCGTTCCACGGCGCACCGGCCTCGAGAAGAGCCGCGACCACCGGAGCATGTCCGAGCTTGGCGGCGTGCATAAGAGGCGTAAGACCGTCGCCGTCGAAGTAGGACACGTCAGCTCCGGCGTCCATCAGTTCCTTCACCTTCTCCACGTCGCCAACTATGGCCGCCGCGCACAGTTGCATCCCCGCCTCTTCCATGCCCTACTCTGTGAAAAAACCCTTTTGCTCAATAGCCCTTCCAAAATAATGAATTTTAATCTCGTTTTTATAGATTACGGCCAATAGTCTCACTTTCTTTTCTCTATTTAATAATAATTTATTTACCAATCAATTTTGGGAAACGTATCCCAAATGTGGTGTTTTTGTAAAGTTTTAATCTTTGTTGTATCTGTATATAGATCATAACTGAAACTCTGAAAATAGCTTGAAATGCCAAATCAAATAATCAAAACACGAGTGAACAAGGAAAATGTCGACACCAATGAACAAACAATGCAATTGCATCTTGATCTTATCTGATACATACATGTGAAAACAAACAATGGCAGGACGATTGAACATTTGCCCTTTTATTCCAGTTCTTGTAATGAACAGACATGAACAAAAACAAAACAAACAACAGGAACAGGAACAGGATATGTCATCAAGGCACGATCTTGTAGGCCTTGTACTTGTCAACCCAAGAAATGAATGAGTTCTTGGAGTTCCTGAAACCCAGGAAGCCGTGTTCCTTGCTCTTGTTCATACTGTCTATCATTCCTTGCACTCCAAGCATCATATCCACGAACCACCAAGTCCCCACTTCCTCGAGCCTTGTCTTCTGCAGTTGATTCTCCTTCACTATCTCCTGCCACAAAGCCTCTTGTCGACAGTT